GCTGTTTATTTATGGATTTGTGAAGGATACAGCTGGCTGTTATTTTACAGTATATCATTCTTGTCAACAAATCCAGCCTGTCATGACCACCATGTCACCACACCTGTCGACCATATTGGAGGTCCAAAGCTCTTGAGAAGCTGTGGCTGGGAAAAGCTCTGAACACACACGCACACACACAGACACTGGCCGACCATTTCTGTTGACAAGTGATGGTCCAGTGATTCCCCACATAACATAGCACCATTAATCCTTATTGATCCCATCGTTTGCAGGTGTAATTTTGAAATGAGATTCTTCCTCTTGTTTTTCAAGGGATCAGTTTTACGCAGTAACCATGGAAACCGCCAGTGAGAGGCAGGGGGCAGGGCAGAGACTTTAAGACAGCAGATGGGGAACGCCAAACCTTTGGCTGGCGGGCTCAGTGGGCTCCTGGCTAAAGTTTGAAAACACACACACACAAACACACACACCTACACACACACACTCTGACTGTCTCCTCTGCCAGGACATGGGGTTCGGCAGATTTATTGCCATTAGTGCCCCTGCTGTGTTAGGTGGAGGGTGCAAAGTGACTTACTGTCTGCCCAGCGTCCAGTCTGTGTTTTCCGCACTACATTTCCTAAAGACTGACTTCAACTCCTTTTTCCTCTTCTACAGCTAACTGATGATGGATCTATTCCGCAGAGGAGAGCTCGGGCTGCTGGGAGGAGGAGAGGGGCTGAGAGATGATGTGAGCGTCTCCGGGATCAGCTGGTCGGCCAATCGGCTGCCGGAGGATATGTACCCGGCGTCAGGATTGGCCCTGGCTGCCGCCTATCATGACATCAAAACCCGACTGGCCAGTCTGGAGAGGGAGAACAGCAGCATCAAGAGGAAGCTCAAACACTACGAGGTCAAGGTGGAGAGCAACACACAGTACTCACAAATGAACGCACACACAATAGAATACAATAGACACTTGTGGCATGAATATGATATTTTCTGGAGAGTCAATCTCCACTTCTGTCCTGTCCTCCAGTTTCCTATGATCAGTGAATTTGGAGAGGAGAGGACACTGTGCTGTTCCTGTGAGCCCATCATTAAGGACACCAGTGTAATCCAATCAGAGACCACCAACCTACAGCAGAGGATCAACTCTCTCACTCAGGAGGTACTCTGTAATGTTATCAGTGTTGTACTTACCAAAGTAATTGCTGGAATCTGGGGATGTGGAAGGCAGCATTCTGGAGCAGCCAGCCCATCATCAGAAGTGAAACAAAAGGGAGCTCACTATGAATGGCTAGCTTATTTTCAAAGGGCACTAATTCACTTTATATTATCTGTATAGCGCTATAAAATGTTCTCCATCCACACGTTGTGCTATTTAGTAGCATTTCAAATAGGCACAATGTAAAATATTTGTAGATTTATTACATTTGATCACTACATTCGTAAATGCCCTGGGGTTCAGTTTCCTACCTCTCTTTTTCCTTGAAGAACCGATTGGCCAAGATGGGAATGCACCAAGCTGCTCTCAATCAATGTTGAGGACTCAGACAGAATCATCCTCCAAACTAGGAATTTTGAGATTGAGCTAAAATTAAATATCAGCAAATACTAAAGAATGAGGGACTGCTATCTGTCTATAGTCTCTTTTGCAGATTTCAGCAAATAACTTGAGGACTGTGTTTTCATGAGTAACAGAAAAAAACAACAACAAAAAAGAGCCAAGTTGTTACCTGATAAAGCAAATTCTGAGAGGTTTTCCTTTCTCTTTCTGTCTCAGCTCCAGAAGAGTAAGGAGAGAGAGGAGAGGTTGGAGGAAGTCATCCAGGCTTATGAGAAGATTCACTTGGAGAAAAGCAACGTCCAGAGAGACCTAGATAAGATGGTAAACACACACACACACACACACACACACGTACACCAGTGTTTCTTTGTAATAATAATATTTTATGCTACAGTGTAACATTGTAACATTTAGGAGGCTATATTGGCAGGAATTGGATATATTATCTATGTATTTAATAGTGTATAATCACCTGAAAATAGGAATCATTATGTTTTCATCATCTTAGAATGGTCCTCTTCTACTGAGGCTACCATGTTGAACCGCCATGTTTCTACTGTAGCCGAGAAGGGACAAACCAAACACTGGCTCTAGATAGGAGCGTTCTCATATTCACATTTCGTAGCCACCATAGTTTCTCCTTTGCACTTGGAAGGAGAGGAGGAAGCGAATGAGTTGCAATCTGCAACTACACTACTAGTTGCCACTAAATCCTACACACTGGACTACGGCAGCAATTTGGGTTTCAGTTTCGCGTGTTTGATTTGTGTTTGTGTGTGTGTGTCAGACGACTCTGGCAGAGCAGCATGTGGAGCGGATCTGCAGTCTGGAGTCGGCTCTCAGACAGAGAGAAACTTCCCTTCAGAAACTCAGCGCTCAACTCCGCAGCAAAGACGCTCATCAGTCTCAACTCCACGCCAGCCTGGATGTACCCAGAGGTGGGGCCTGTTTGGATCATGGTAGTATTAGCAGTCGTAAGATGGGAAATACAACAGCAGAAAGTTATATAATAATAAGTAGCAGTGCTAGCAGTCATTTATCAGCAGGTAAAAAGTACTAGTTTAAAGCGTTGGGTTTTCCAAATGGATGCTCTAATCTCGTTTTACCACAAGATTCATTTTTCAGTTATGAGTTAAGAATGCTAAATACACAATCGACCATTTGCTAATCTCTGCTCCTTAATTTACTGTTGCTATATGTGCCAAGCTTTTGTTACTTGCACAGCACATATGCAGTTTACAATGATAGCAGTGGCAGATTTACCATTGAAATTCGTGATCAGACATTTGTTGTTAACTTTGTCGGCTGAAATAACAATCCCATTTGAAGATTTCAGTTGATTCGTGTGTTGGTTGAAATGCTGTCTCTGGCAGACTTTTAAATTATTCAAAAAAGAGTTGTGAACTCTGCACTTAATGGTTACATGCTGTACATGATATCATGGGAAAAGACTGTGGTTTTCTTCTAACAGGTCCTGGGCAAAAGGTCACCATCTTCACCTGTTGATGTAGAAAACACATAAATAAATAAATGGCATTGTTCTTGTATTGCAGTGTAGAGTTGGTCGTCATAGCAGTATCAGTAAAAATTTAAAATCAGAATCGTATCTTATTGTAAGATAGCGCTGTTTAGTTGCTTCACTACTTTGCTGGTTATTTGTAGGAATGAGCAAGTACACCAGTATCTGTATCTGTTCAACCAACATTAATGATCTACACTTTGATATAGTGCATCATGGACCAGCATACAGTGGATGGGCTAGTTCTGAATGGATCTTAACCTGAAAGTCTATAAAATGATATAACAGCTAGTATGATATGCTCCTGTTATTGGTAATAACACTGGGTTAGGTTAAAACTGTAGGTAGTAAGCTAGTTAGCTGGACATGCTACACGCACCATTCCTCACCATTCTCTTGTGTTTCTGGTTTTGGAGTAGGTAAAAAAGAGAAACCACCATCCAGACTCTCTCTCTTACTATAACTCCATGCACACCACTTCAACATGCAGAGAAATCCAAAGCTTGTCCGGCCAGGACAGCAAACCACAAACATGTAAAAAGACAATACTAATGATTCAGGAATTGAGGTTTATCCTTCCATTCGTAGTATTGTACAGCAGTGACTTGGAAGAAAAACTAGAACCAGGGAGTAAAGATGAAACAGACTGATACTGTGTGTGTGTGTGTGCGTGTGTGGTACTGTCAGAGGGCCGTGGGCCGACGCTGCAGAGCTCCCGCAGTCTGGACGCCCTGTCAGACCTGAAGCTGCAGCGACTGGAGGCCGAGCTGGAGGGGGCACGGCACCAGGCAGAGGGAGCCTGTCAGAGGGAGAAGGAGCTGAGGGCCGAGCTTCAGAGGCTGCAGCAGGAGGTAGCCCAGCTACAGGAGGCACAGAGACAGGTAGGATGGAAAAGGCTGGACGTTTACACCTCGGGAACATTATCTCTACTGCAGGCCTCCAGGCTGTGGTGCTCACATTTGTTGGATATTTTTAGAGAGGATTGGACTAAAATTCATTAGAACACCAGGACTATTTGCAAATGCATTTTTGGTTGAATGATAATTTGTGTAATGGGATAGGGCATGAAATGACAAAACAAAATGTAATGAACCTAGAATGAATGGATTTTTAATTCATGAATTGGTTATTGGACCACACCAACCTATTAATGCATGATGTCTCTCACAGGTTTTATGTGCCTGTGTTTGACAGTTGCTGTTATTGTTTTTTATTATTAATCTGTGACTGAAAATAATCCCCAACATCTGCAGTATTTACGTCATTTACATTTGACAAAAACAAGCTATTTTAGGACATTACTGAGCCTTTAAAAAAAATGAAACTATATTTTTGTCAGCCATTTTTAAAGATTTGTTTTTCGAACCAGAAGGTTTGGGGCACAGATAGGGTTAGAAATGGTTGCCAGGTGTACAATAGTGATCATCTCTGTACAATAATTTAGCAATAAGTTGTTTTTTAGCACCTGGAAACACTGATAGTTCAGTTGAAAAGTGCCACCACCATCCATCACATAAATTCTACTTAGATACTGACTATTTGCATTTGACAGAAAAAGTTTAACTCAAAGTCTGCAGACTATCTTATTTTCAAGGTTTTGATTGCATCTCACAGTCTTCATCAGCAGATGATTAGTCAGTTGTTGTCAGGGGCGTGTCCAAAGGGTGGGCCTGGGGTGGCACTGGCTAATATGATTGGCCCCCCCATAATCCTTACCTTTTCCACTCGCACTGTGTTTCATAGGCCGTTTTGAAGCTAGAGTGAAGATACTGGTATCGTATGAAACTAGATGACCAATCGAAACCATTGGTACCATATCATGCTAGCAAATTAGGAAGGGGGCTACATAATGCTCCAAAGTTGGGCAAAATTTTGGTGATGGAAAAACTGGCATTGCCATTTTTAATGGGATCACTTGACCTCTGACCTCAAGATATCGGAATGAAAATGGATTCTATGGGTACCTACAAGTCTCATATAGTTTTTGGGCAACAACCATGCAGTTTTTTGCATGTGGTAGGCCTATAATTTTTGCCAAGTTTGTTTGGATATTTCTCCATACTGGTGTCCAGTTTAACAGACTTTCCTCAGTATTAACAGAGTTGTAGATTTATCTCTAAACTCCAGCATCCAACTTAAACATGAGTAGAGGTTGAAGGATTGTTAAGTGCTCTATGTAGACAAAATGAATAAATAAAGATAGTTGTAGCGTTAGAGAGAATAAAGACAAACTATAAACAAATGTATAATATATTTATATAGAAATAAAATGTTTTTGATAATTAACTACAGTCTGTCTGTATCTCTGTCAGTCACAGGACTTGTCCCCACACTGTGAGCACTGTGACGTAGAGTGGATAAAGAAAGCCGGGGACGAACAGTGAGTCTTAATTCAAACAGGAGAATAATCTGAAACTGATCTACAGTTATGTGTCAGTTTGTTTACTTGTATTTATTTACTCAGCCACTCTCTTTTGTTGCAGGGTGAACCTAGCGTTGGCCTACACTGAGCTAACAGAGGAGTTGGGTCGTGTTCGCAGTCTGACTGTGAAACAGAGTGACCTTCTGCGGCAGGTCTCACAGGAGCCTGGTAGGTCACCTGACTGGCCTCTCGGCTCATGGACTTCATGGTATCATTAGATATTTTAAAGCAGTTGAAGGGTAGTTGAAGCATGTGTGTGTGATTTTTATTGCATATATCCATGTTTTAGTGTATCATCATACAGTTTCATGATTTTTCCAGTGTCTGTTGGCAGAGAACAGACCACATTAGCCTGTGAAATGTCATTGAAGGTATTGTGTTTGCACCTAGGTGCCAGTGGAGGGAAAGCATTAGTGCACCCAAAAAATGGAAACAGAAATGTCCAACATCTGTTTTCTTTCATGTTTGTTAATAAGACAAAGTTAACGCTAGTGGTGTAACATGCTCATTTGTTGCTGTTTGTTGCTGTAATGAGCTTCACCACAATGCTCAGCCATTGCAACCATGTCAATTCACTTCACCTGTGTGTGAGGGTTGCCACTTTTGGACCTGTTCAAAACTGACACACATAATTCGCTCTAACTAATTTGAATGCAACCCATGTAGTGTGTTGGACTTTGCTCATTATTGTATCCTCCAGTTTTATTTATTAGCTTAGTTTGCTGTTAAATATGCCATCCAATAGGTCAAACCAATTTTTTGGGGGGAGGGATTATGGTCGAACTTTTGAGAATAAGTCAACTAGTAGCATTAGAGCATAAGGCTGCCTCATATATATCTGTCTATATATGTGAGTGTATGTGTGTGTGACTTCCTCTATATATGTCCTAAAGTGGATTAGAATTTATGTATAAAACATAAATATTGATTCTTGACATCAAACACACAGACATCATAGTATCCCTCCTGTCCTCTCCGATTTGTGTGAAACTAACATAACCACTGAGACTACGTACAGACAGCTTTAATCATTATTATATTAACAAGCGCGCTGTACTTGTAACAACAACTGCGGACAAAGCAGTTAGAAATATTGCTTCTCTGTTTGTCTAAGAGACTTGGGATGTACCATATTACGGAGCCCCTTATGATTTATTAGAGCTTTGTGATAAAAACAACTGACTGTAGAAAGACTACAGAGCTTGGCCCTGCTGCTTGACTTACCCGATCGGGTGACACTTCTGTAGAGGCTTATTTTAGAAAAACAAATCCTAGTGAACTGTAGCGACTCTTTGAGCTGACATTAGCCTTACTTTGAGAGGGATCACCAGTTGCTGTGTATCTCCACGCCAGTGCCCCTAATTACCAATCACTAATTGCCATGTTCTGGTTAGGAAATTCTTCATCCCCAGGCAGCTTCTGATGAAGTGTTGTCACATGTTGTTTCTATCCCAAGCTTTGCTTCTGATCTCTCCAAACTAAAGACAACTGAAATGACACAAAGCTTAAATCCTTTAACCATTCTCTCTTTTTCTTTCTTCATCTCTCAGTTTCCCGTCCTCCCCCTGCTCCTCAGCGTCTCTCCCCCACCTCCCCCCAGCGCCCCTCCCTCTCCCCTGACAGGCTCCTCCCAGCCCCCTCTCCTCCTCTGTCGCCAAACGACGGCCCCGCCTCCTTCTCCCATCAGCCAACCAGCAGCCGTCTACGAGCAAAATTTCAGGGTCGCCGTAGTTACTCGGAGGTGAGGCTGGACATTCTTGGTGTAACTAAGTTGGAAAATGATTAACTTTTTCATAATAACCTTTGACCTCCTCCCCTTTTCTCAGGTATCTGACCCGTCTGCCATCCACAGACCCTCAGCTCGCCTGATGAGGGATCCAGTATCCACTCTTCCCAAGCCCAGGCCCCTCCTGGGGGAGACGCAGGGTTACGGCCAATCCAAATCTCAGCTCCGTGCCTCCTTGGTGGGGCTGGTCAGACCAGCCTCGGCTCATGGAGCTGGAGGGGAGAGAGGAGGAGGAGGGGGAGGAGAGAGAGGTGGGGGCAGCAGTCTGAGCAGTAGTCCTCATCACTGTGCTCTGGACCTGGGCTTCCCTCTGGCTGCTGAGGTGAGAGCTTTCAGTAAATTTCCTCAACGTTAATAGTTTTAATGTGTCCCCATAGTTTCAAAGGGCTCATAGAAAATGACTTTAATTAGCTGATATGTTCTCATACCTAATTACCTGATTCATACTATTACTCACAGATTCAGCAAATACCTTAATGATATGAATCTGGTGAGAAAATGTTCTATGCTAATTAGCAAATGTTAGCATTCTAACTAAAATTGATAACATGGTTAACGTTACCTGCTAAACATCGGGACATGTTAGGAATCTGGATAATTAATAATTAAAATATACCTAAAGAGCTTTGCAAGTTGTTAACATATCATATGCACAATCATATGTAGATTTAAAGATCCCCTCCAGACATGAATTAAGACATATACAAATAGTCTGCTTGGAACAATAATGTGTGCCTTTTTTCCACAAAGAAATTATCATTTTGACATTAAAATCCTTAAAATCCCAGAATCTCTGATTATGCAAATGTTGTTCATGTCTAATGTTTTCCTGCTGGACACGAGATGTCTCCTACTTCACTGTAAAGTCCATTCTCAGTGGATG